TTCAGGGTAGTATCTAGTCGAGCGCTCTCGACTAGAGTTTTCTTACTTGTTTTATATATAATATTTTTGCTATCCAATGCCTCCAACTATCCACCACATTTTGGTTGGTGTTTTGGTAGAGCGCGCAGCTGAAGCCCGAAATAAAATTTACAAAAACGATCGAAAATCACATGCTAAGGAGTGCAGGCGATTACATAATATAAGTGGCATATTCAATAAAGCACTAGACTTATCTGACCCACTTATTTAAGGTCTCAGTTTGAAAAAAGGAGCTCGTTGAATGAGAAAAAGAGAACTGCCTACAGAAGTTATTGCACTTCTAGAGGCATATAGTTTCGAACCTTCTGAAACATATGGAAGAATTGCTAGTTCAACTAAAAGCGAAGAAGAGGAATGACTAAATTGGTTAACCCGTAAAAACTTGCCTGCGCTGCAGAGTGGGCAATATTATGAGAATTTGTTTGTTGAATAATTTAATTTATAGACGTACGATCTTAATGAAACTTTCAGAACATAATCATAATGCTTAAATGTATGTACATTCCAAAGCACAAGTCTCTAGTATTCAACATATGTATGTATATACACAGTAAATCTGAATTCTTCAAGTCTTAGTGTTCAAATGGGGCTGAAAAAATAAAATAATTTTTGGATTATTCTCGATAAAAAAGTTATCGGATTATTTATCGAAAAAATAAAGCAAACTCGTACTGCGTATGGTATACACGAATATGCATGCCAAATTTCAGCTCTCTAGCTCTTGTATCTTCTGAAATCTCGGCGTTCATACGTGTAAAGTGTTTCCTAACAAAATGTATGCTGTGCGTAAATAAAACATGTAACATTAGTTGAAATTAAAAAAGTTAAAATGCTAAATTGTAGATTGAAGAACCTTTCCGATGAGGTATATGTATATCGATATAGAATATTTAATATACTCAAAAAAACTTAGGGGTTGGCGTTGCTTTAATATTAGGTTTTTTCCTTGACAACTGACCGAATTCGAGCTGTAAGTGATTCATATATATCCCCTAGGTGTTATTGTATAGTTTTTGGAAACAGTCGGGTAAAAATTTGGCATTTAAGACACATTTCAGCTGTAACGAGAAAATAATTAGAATATCAGCTTGGAGGGTTCATGGTATCTCCTAGTCGAGCAGTCTCGACTAGAGTCTTCTTGTTGTCATACAAATTTGAAATAAAAATGGAATTGAAATATCTTTTAAAGCAAGAAAGCTAGATCATATAGACCTACATACATATACGATCTACGCATTAATACCTTTGATAAATAATATTTATGTATGTAGATACGTACATGTGAATGTAAATATGTATATATTTTAAATCATCTGCTTAGGCACTTACCCAGAGCCTATTCAGTGGATGCATGTGTATGTGTGTGTGTGTCAGTATTTATGAGACCTAGAATGATTAATAGAACAGATAGCCGCAGATTCAAGATATCTGCTTGTCGGTCCCTCTTAAAGCACTATTACTTATTATTACATAAATATATCACCTCTTGCAGGGCTTTGATGATGATGAAACATCACTGTCGACAGCAACGACTCCTTCGCTGCCCATAGACTTGGAACCAAAATTTGAGACATGCTTTTGCTGTGCGACGCATGCCGTTGCGCCACCTGATGTGGCCATGGATGATCCAAAGTTCTGCTTTGCAATGCCCGTGCACATTACCCAGGCATCACCGGAGCGCAATCGGCAAAGTGCAAGACGTGCTCAGGATCCAATTTCACCTCGCATCCAGAAGCAGATTAGTTTGTTTGAAGGTGCTGGCATCAGCGTGGAAGCCAGCGTACTGCATGCCTCGATCAACTTGCCGGCGGCAGCACAGCAATTACGTCAGGATGCGCGTTTACGTAAATTTGAAAATTTAACGCAGTCCACTTCCAATTCCAATTTCCCTTTTGAGAGCAACACACTTAAACGTGTTCCGTTGGTCAGAACTAAAGATGATTATGCGAATGTTTCGCATACACAAAGCTGTATCAACTTGAAGAGTAGTGGTGGAGCCGGCTCCGAGTCTGCTTCCCTCAGTTGTGGCTCGCCGAAACATAAGCCCGATGCTACACTATTAATAGAACGACAGGAAATACCAATTGGCGGGTGTCAAAAAGCTGGCCCGGCAAATTATAATCCCTTGCCCAATGCACTGTCCGTTTGCTGTTCTCTGGACTTGGATGCTGGATGCAGAACATCGACTCCAAATACTTCGGGGACTATGGCGGCACCACATCCAGGCGCCTTAATTGTTAAAGAGCGCTTTATTGAGCCCCCCAAGAGGGGAGTTGTGCATGGCTATCACGGCAAAACGCAGTCCATGGACGCCGACTTTCTGTTTAACGAGTTTTTATTGCTGCCTGCAGCTGTATCGCCAATAGATATGACACAGGAGGCGAACCTAGAGACGTCGGAGTGAATGGTCGCCTAACTTACGAAATAAAACTATTCTATTTATCATATATGTATATCTATGTATATCTCTAACTTAAACTTGTTGTAGCAACTGCATTGTTGTTTGGCCCACACAAATAAAAATCCAACTATTTTATTGTTATAGCGCTAGGCAATCGAATTATTGAACATAATGCAAAAAATAAACAAGTAAGAAGACTACAGTCTAGACTACTCGACTAGGAGATACCCTGAACCC